GTTTTATAAAGTGCAAAATTATTAGTTATACACAAATAAAATAATTTTTTTTTAAACTTCAGAAAATGGGTTTATATTATCTCAATGATATTTCAAAAAAAAAATGATCGTAAAATAAAATAATTACTACAATTACTATTAAATATTTATTAATACAAACTCATTTTTTCAACACAATAAAACAAACTCGAGGAGCGCACATTTTCGTTTCCTTTTCTTGCTTTAATTTTTTCAAGTTCAGGATAGAGTCTATCCAATTCTTTCAAACTGTTCAAATGCTGTTCTACAATTTCACTTAATGACTTCAATAAATTTAAAACACTATCGTTTTGCGAAAGTAAAATAGTTTGGTATTTTGCATCTAATAACAAACTGGTCCATTCAATTAATTTTTTTTCCGTTTCAACAAAGTCCATTTTAGGCAGACAATAGACCTCGTGAGAAAACATGCGTTGTATGTACATCAGTAGATTTAAAACGGCGTCTATATCTAAGTTGCGTCTTAAATGTGGAAGTAATAAAATGTCGCTGAACCTCAATACCAATATCTTCTCAAGAAACAAATGTCTGCCAACAGGCTGTAAACTTTCAGGTAGATTTTCACTATGTTTATTGTTATTGAAAACTTTTGCGTCTACAGTAAGTCCAAATTCTATTAATTTAGCAATAGATTCTTCAGGTACATCCACAAAATAATCCACTGCATCTAAAATAACATCAATATTTTTCTCTTCAATTAACTGAGACAACAATTCTGAACAAACTGCAGCTTCTGGTCTCCCTTTTTCTAACAAATGATCTATTTTAGGTGCTATATTTTCGGGAACTTTTTTATTAAAAACGCCATTCAAAATAACATCTTTTCTGTCATCATTTTTAAAAGTGTCCCAATCCAGTAATTGTACTTTATCAACAATTGTTACATCTGATTCTAAATAATTCGAATTTTCCACAAATGCTTCCTTGTGACTTCCTATCAACGTTGCCAATTCCTCATCATGTAAATGGTATGGAATGACAGCTAAATTATGTCCCATTCCTAAAAGCAAGTTAGTTCCCACTCGCCAAAGTTTTGAACCAGATGTAAATAATTTAAAAGACACCTTTGATTGTATAACTTTAAATTGTGTGTTATATAAAAGTAAAACTGCTCCCTCTTCATTCCAATCCGCCCCGTATAATGCGATATACTGTTGATTAAGGGGAACCATAGATACGGGACTTTTCAAAGACAGAGACTGTAAAATAGCAAAACGCTTTCCAATTGAATTTTTATTTGATTTTATTTCATCTTCTGAAACCGAAGGACTTAATTGATAAGCATACATGTATCCATCAGACCCTAAAACATTTATTAAAAGAATTTAATTTGATGCATCACGTTCAAAGCAATTAATAAAGTACACAAATACAACTAACAAAAATAATAATTCAATGTATTTGGGTTTAAGAAAGTTTAAGTTTTTCCTAAATTTTATTTTCATAAATGAACAGATGCAACAATATTATATTATTTCATATAAGATGAACTATCATATATGGACAATAGAGCGTTGAATTTTTTTCTTCTAAAAGTGGCGGTAGTCAAGAAATGTATGGGAAACTATTCTAAATCAAGTTATATAAAAGAAAAACCGCTCCTTTGGGCATTGGCATAGCTTTGGGCTATGACCTGTATGGATAAATAGACACGTATATAAGAAAAGTGTTTTTGAAATTAAAAAAGCATTCAGAATTTTAGTATCCTAATATTATGAAGGTACCTTATCATTTATATCGCCAAAGACAGTTTTAGATAAGTAATAGAAGTACTTAAGACATTTTTAAGAAGTAAATATCTACCTAAGACACTGTAACCCAAATAAAATAATTTAAATATTGTAAAGTAAACTTACACAGAGTCAGTAGTTTAATGCATCCCTCTACTGCTAAATGACACATGACATGCCCAGCAATTTCCACACTTTTTCGTACATTTAAATTCTCTCTACCTTTAAAATGGAAATTACCATCAATAAATAAACTCCATTCAAATATATGCTTTTCTTCATTAGAGATTATTCCAATATAAATCTCATCCTTTCTGTTACAATAAAGAACATCTACTATTTCAACTTCCTTTGTTTCTTCTGCTTTTTCCTTACGAGTTTCTAAAGCTTTGCTTAGTTCAGACACTGATAAATCCTTGAAGATTACAAAAGTCTGCTTTGCACATTGTATTAAAGAGTGTATTTGTTTGGTGAACTAAAATTCAGTAAATAAAATAAATTAAGCATTATAATAACAATTATCAAACAAGTACATACTTTGTATTTTTTCAATTTGTCAATGTTTTCTTCACCATCATTCCAAATTCTTATATACAAATTGTTGAATACAGCTGCATATTTTGAAGAACTGAAATCATAAATGACTGCAGAACTAAACTTGTCTTTTGTTCTCCAACTGTGTATCTGCTTTTGATCTGCAATCTGATTCGATTTTTAGTAAATTTAATAGCAGATGTTAGGAAAACTTACTCTGTACTTGATGCATATGTTTTTTCCTAATGTGACAATAACATGACCTGCTTCTGAATCTTCCGTAATTCCTAACAAACTCTTGTGATCAATTAAAGGGCATAATCCGTAATAATTTCCTAATTTTGCCATTATAAATGTTATATATGTATCACAAAAAGTTAAGTATTTTTGAGGTTGAAGTCATGCCAAAACCAAAGCGAGGTTATGTTTACAACAGCCAACATAACTGTAACATAACCATGATAATAAACTTGATAACCTTAAAACATAGATGACAAACAAAATAAAAAGAAAATGCCTTTAGATGTGGTTGGATTCTCATATTCGTTATTTATTATTGTAGGAGGTTTATACGGATTTCTTGCAGCTGGTAAATTAATTTTTCCTCGAGTAACAGTAATAAATTTCAAATTTTGTTGTATTAGGATCTCTTCCTTCACTACTAGCTGGCCTTTTATTTGGTATAATATCAGGATTTGGAGCATGGAGAGTAAGTAAAGACCCATCGAAATACTTAATTCAACTTTTAGCAGCATTCATTTTGGCTTGTGTTATGGGTGTCCGATACTACCAATCTGGAAAAACCTTACCAGGCATTGTGTGTATTGTGTCAACATTTGTAGTTGTGTGGGTCATATTCAGAAAACTTACTTTTAATACCAGAGAAAAAATAAAGTGTATGAAAAATTCACTTTTGAATTAAAACATCTCTTTTTTGATAATTACCTGGTTTTTGTCCATGTCTACTTACACAGTAGATGTAAGAAATGCAATTTTATCAAATTAAAATGCAAAAGAATAACTAATGTACCTTTTTCTAATCAATTAATTCAATTTGAATGAATATAAAATCTGGACAGACTAATTCTTAAAATTACTTTTCCTCCCATTAAGAATGGTAATACAAATTAGGTCATCTTTAGAATAATGTGTATCAAATTAATATTTTACTTTGTATTGTATTTACTTTTTATTCTGCATTGGCACATTACCACACTTGCCACCCTGAGCAAACTTTACAAAATATATACACATGTAATGCCGTTATGTACTAACATTAGGAATATACATATAATATATTTAAAGAAAATCACATACATTTAGTAACGGGTTTATAGGTATGGTAAATAAAGACTATACATATTTTGGAAGGAGGGATAACAGAGTGTTTTACTAAGGCACTAAGTCCTACAGTGATTGTGATTGAACTTTGGGTTAAAATATGTAGTATATTTTACAGCTTACACTATTTTATTGTTTTTTTATTAATTCATAATGCTTTTCTCTAGCAATAGCAGCTATTATTTTATTGTTTGACAATGAGTTGAAATACTGTCGCCAAGTTTTTGGGTAATTAATTACTTAAGAACATCGTTATCAAACATGCAAAAATAATACAGATATTACTGTGATAGAAAAATATATAAAACTCGAAATATTCCACTCGACAATAAAAAAATACTGACATCAATCTTATTTCTTTTTCTAAACTAACACAATATAGTGATTGAACACAGCAGCAGTAGTAAAATTAACGAGTGACGTAAGATTTAAGCAGAGAAAACCATTTTAAATTGAACTGCGTAATTATAGAATTATAATTACAGCATGGAGAAATTTACNAAAGGTAATAAGCGAATAAATTAAGATGCTGAGCAAATATACCTATTAATAATAGAAATAACAAAAAACATGTTTTTTTTAATTACCTATACTTTTTCAAAATTGAAGTATTTTGTTTTGATACATTTGATGAAACAATAAATTGTCAAATACTTACCTCAGATCTTAAATCATTTATCCTTCTATCCATTCCTCCTCGTGATGCTGCTTCTTCTTGTAGATCTGCTTTAATTAATATAATTTCTTCTTGATGCTGATCCTGAAGAGATAACAATTCTCTGACGGCATCTTGTCTAGACTGTCTCAATTCTTCGCATTTTTCTTTCATTTCTTGCAATTCATTTGATAATTTTTCTACATTTCGAAGGAGTTGTGATTTTTCTCTTTAAATATAACAAAAATCAGCATTTATATGTTGTAAAATAAAATGTTAAAACAAATAAATTGTAAACATTATTTTAATTAAGTAAAAAAGAAATGGCTGGAAATTGAACCAGCCATGCATGTCTCACTCAATATTTTTAGTCAAAGCATTCTTATCACCTTTTTTTATGCTTTCCAATTTTCTGCGCATACAGGCATATGTACATTTCTTTTGATACTTCTTACAGTTATTAATTTGATATGTGGTACACAGATTTACGACCCATGCAAACACTTCTTCCAAATTGTTATTTCTTAATTGTTGTTATTTAAAAATTAAAAAAAAAAAACAAGCACTTACTCTCTTTCTACCTGTAAAGTTTTAGTGGTTTCTTCTAACTTAAGTTGTAGCATAGAAACTTTTTGAGACCAACAATCTTCCTCATTATCATCTTTCTCGTCACATGCTTTATTAGGCAAATTATCAAAATCAGTAACTTCATCTTCTTTGGGCTCAGAAATATATTTAGGCACTGCTCCTTGTAAAATATACTCTTCTATACATGAATCTTTCTCTATACATAATAGAGATGTAGCTGTACTATCACATTCCTGCTGTGTTGTAATATTAGAACTATCTTGAATCTCTTTTTCTTTAACAGTGGTTTGCTCATGATTAATACTGAAATTAAAGTCTTTCAAAGGATCATCTCCTAAAGCTTCTAATATTTGACTTTCAAACTGTCCAGCATGTTTTAATAAAAGTAAATGTATCTTTTCAATTTCTTTTTTTAATTGCTCATTTTGAAACTCCATTTCTTGTTTTTCTCTGATATAACAATTACCATCTTTTAAAGCAGCTTCTAATTTCGTCCGTAAAAGTTTTGCTTCTTCTCTTGCTTTATTTCTCTCATTACGAACTTTACTCCACTTTTCTCTCCAGTTTGCTGTACAATCAGACCACCATCTCATAGTTTTCTCCATTTGTGCAGCTCTAGCCCTTGCTTCTTCTAGCTCACGTTGTCGTAGAGCCTTATAAATATTTTTTAGTTTGAAAAAAAAATAAAATGTAAACAATATTCCTTACAAGGATATACTTACTTCTTTTGCTTCCCATTCTGTATCTGCATATCTTGATGAAATTGATGATGTTTCATGGTCTCGGATTATACGTCGAGAAGAAGTTCCACCTGTACTTTGAGCCATTTATATTTCTTATTTTTAGAAATATCCTATTAAATAGTAAAAATTGTTAGATTTAGAAAAACCGAAAACATTATTAATAAATGCAATTTTATGTTTTCATTACACACCACCATATTATCACTAATTACTTGACTGGATTAATAACAATCAATTCACAGAAAAAAATACAAAAACTATTCGCATGGGTAATAAAACTTCCTATCAGACAATAAACTTGTAGTACTGCAGTTACGTAATCTGGGAACAATAAAACAGTAAATAAATTAAGAATAATAATTTACTATTCAAAGGCAGCATTTAAAAATTACGTTTAGATAAGTTTCTATTGTTATTGGGGAAATTTACATTCCGTTTAAAATTATACATATACTAATAATAAGCAATATTTTAGAATCTAAAATGTGGAAGTAATATAAACACTTACACAGTCAGAATCTTCAAGTACTGCCATTTCTTCGCCTCCGTCTTCTTTATCTTCACTGTTAGTTTTAATGGAAAAAAAGAAAAAGAACCCATCAAACCATAATCAGAAGGTACAAAAGTTAATTAAAAATTTGAAATTTAAATTTCAAGAAATAGATTTCTTAACATTAAACAAGAAGGAAGATAGTGTTTCGATAATGAAAAACTTCTTTAATATACAATATCTGATAATATAGAAAATCTAATAAAATTTTACGTTGTTCTTGTCATTCAAAAATCAAATTTATATTTTCTGATTGATTGACCAAAAAAAAAGTCTCTCCGGCCTACACTCTAGTGCAAAACTGGAGGATAGAGTAGAAGGCCCTCTCAAAAAAAAACCCAATTTTGCTTCCCTACCACCTAAACGTTATAAAACGCAATATTAATTAGTGTTACATTTATCTACAGTCTACTCTATATTTCATCCACACCAAATCTAATAAAGATTTGATTAATCATCTACATAAGTTACTTAAGAATAACAAAGAGAGAAGAAAGTCTAGTTAAGAACAAATAAATATGAATAAATATTAAACTTAAACATTTACCTAGAATGAAGATGCTGTAACTGGACTTGTAAACTGTCGATTTGTTCTTGTAGTTCATCATTGGTCCTCTGGTGTTTTCGAAGACCGTTGGTGGCAGCATCTAGTTCGTCTTCAGTAACAGCTAAGTCCCTCTTGAGTTCCTCGACTCTATTTCGTAATTTTTTTACTTCTAATTCGTACTGCTCCGCTCTTCTTACTGTATGAGCAAGTTCAGTGATTTTGTCTTGAACCATCTTTTTTAGTTTATTTTGAGAATGTTTTAAATCTGCCACTTCCTTTGAAAAATAAATAAATAAAATAAAAAATCATTAACAAAAAAGTACAGATAAAAATAAAATGCCAGTAACATTAAGCTTTACATTTCAAACTTACAAAGTATCAAAACAGTTGTAAGATCACAAGTATATAAGAAATTCATATATTTTGTAAATGTTAATAAAGTTTGTAACTTGAATAGAGCAATACTAAACTCTAAAATTCATAAAAATATCTAGGCCAAGTAAACACAGATCATTTGTTTATGAATTAAAACAAGGTTTGTATTGTTTTACTCCTAAACGAAGTAATTTTCAAGAAAATTCAGAAGTAAATATTGTAGAGTATTTATTAAACTGAAAAAAAACTAGTATTTACACGCCATCTAATTGTTACTTGATTATCGCAAATTTTTCTTTTAGGTGCTTCAATTATATCTATGCATATGAGCATTTCTTTTATTAAGACTAGTTCTTTTCCCTGCCCCCGGCCATTTTTATTGCTCCACTATGACGTAGTGTCGGCCATCATTCTTTTCTAATTGTTGCAGTTGTCGGCCATCATTCTTTTTTAATTGTTGCAGTTGTCGGCCATCATTCTTTTCTAATTGTTGCAGTTGTCGGCCATCATTATTTTTCAATTGTTGTCGCATTGTTACTGATATCAGCCATTATGTTTTTTTTAATAGATGTATGGTAT